CTCCCTGCCGCTGCTTCTGCTGCCCACTCGTCTCTCCTCCAAATCTGCATCGATTCCAACGCAAGAGAAGAGGGTCTCTCCCTTCAAAATCATCTTAAGCCAGTTGGGTACTCCCCATATTTGCACTCGAGCACTAAATTCATCGTCTTTCACTCTGATAAAGTCACCACCCACATGTTCATGTCCGCTATGTGCTCGATGAAATGCCTCAAAGGATCATGGACTGTCATGATTTCGGGCTCCTCTCAGAATGGTTTCTCAAAATAAACATAACTTTTTTCCCCGTATTGACTAGTGAGTACAAACCCCTAAACTTTGTGGTGTTTTGTACTCACTAGTCACGACAACAAAATTTGCATATACTCATACTTATTTTACCAAAAATGCTTTTTGGCTCGCTCCTGCTCCAGCTCGCGCTCAACGCGCAGAGAGCGGAGCAGGGGGTGGCCACCCCCTGCTCCGCTCTCTGCGCGTTGAGCGCGAGCTGGGGCAGGAGCGAGCCAAAAAGCAGCGCTCTTATTTTATGACTCATGTGGGAGGTGTTGTGGGTACTTGTGAAGGATTAAAAAGCAATGACACTAATAAAAAATATTGCAAGCCACGGCTCATGTTTGCGTCGTCGATGAAAAATAAAATAAAAGTGAAAAAGACGTTTCATCTTCATTGGAGCACTTGAACAGAGATGGACTCGTTCTCTAGTCCCACGTTGCTTAGTTAAGAAGAAGAACAAGCTACGTTTAAATACTTTTTCTAAATTCACATTGCCGCATCTGATAGGAACATAAAGAGACATGTGATGCGCATTTGAAGCTGGTAGGATACTAGTGGGGATTGAAATGGTGTTTGGTTAGGGAAAAAAAGAAGTTTTTATAAAGGACATGAATTGACAAGCAAAACAAGAATTTTAATTAGAACGTGACATAAATATACTCCGATACATGTATGTTTTGCAAGTTTTGTGACACACTCCATTTTGCTGACAGGGAAATGTGACTTGAGGTGACAAAAGAAAGTTACAATTTTTATTGCAGCGACTCAAACTTTTTTCCTACTAAACCGCCCCGAGATTTGGAATGTCCCACAATGTCCTTGTGAAGTTCTACATTTTCTAAACGGACCTTCTCATGGTGTTAACGGCTCAATCTGAGGGCTCTCGTTTGGTATGAGGTTAAAACAATCAAGGTTAAACTTTAATACGACAATTATTACCCAGGTCATGTCGTTTGGGGGGGGGGGGGGGGGGGGAGGTGGGGGGCGGGGAGGGGGGGGGGGGGGGGGGGGGGGGGGGGTTGGGAGCCATTCTAAGTTGGTATTAACCTGTCATGAGGGTTAAATTGTAACACAAAAAGATCTCTACCACTCTCAACTCACCCTCAAAATTAAACTTATTGTTGAGCGTTACGGAAGTCAAACAACCAAACCGATGTGCTTCGAGAGACCAAATCAAACAAACGTCGAAACAAGGCCAAACGAACCAAATCAATGCTACAAACACAAACAACCAATTTTAACGTGGTTCGGCAAGTTGCCTACGTCCACGGGCAAGAAGGGGATAGAGTTTTTCACTAATAAAGAAGAAGAGTACAAACTGAGATTACAAATCACTCAAACTCACCAATTAATCTCACAAACAAATCTCTAATTCTCTCCAAACAAAATCCTAACCAATAGCTCAGAAAATACCTCTTTTCTGTGCTCCAAATATCCCCAATTTTCTTCTCAATTCTCTCTTCCAATTGTTCCATATATATAGAAATTCTAAAATCATAAACATACTAGGAATTCTAAAACAAAAAACAAAACAGATTAGGAATCCTACTAACCTGTTACCAAAACTAATTAGGAAACATATTAGGAACCTGCTATCCAACAATTCTCCACATCGGCGAAGTTTTCTCAAAACTAAGCCGACACCAATACCAACCAAACGTCTCACTTGTTACGTCCAGTACGAAGTGGAACAAATCTACGACAATGGACTCAATCCACAACAAGTCGAGAACCCAAACGAGAATGCGAACAAACTCCAAATGTCGGTATCAACTCACCAAAACGGTTGCATCATAAATGACTGCCTACGTATCCTCTTGCCCAAGGAATCAAGTCTTCACGCAGTTCACCCAAACGGCCTCCAGAGGCCCTCAATCAAATAGAAAAGTTTGTAACTCTTCACCAATATCACCAACGGATCTGCAACTGATAGCGCTTTCAATGACCCCAAACTGAAACAAATCAAACACCTCCACCTGAGGTGAACCAATGGTCGTATCCAAAACATGTCCACCAGCTGCACTCAACTCCAAAACCAACTCATCATCTGCATCTAAATCCAAATGATCTCCAAACTGTGTCACCTCAGCTAGAATCCCAAACGATGCAGTATGATCTGGAGTATGTGGAGTAATCTCCACCCAATGTGAAGTAGCATCACCCTCCACCTGTTACGATATCCCAATGATTTGATCAAAACTCTCCATCTGCCGAGAGTCAAATATGACATACCTGCTCAGAATAAAATCAGAAGCTCCTAACTGATAATCAAACGAACCTCTGAATCCTAAACGTGCAATTGGATCAAATCTCACATCCTCGATGTGATAAAATACTGGGCAACCAAATATCTGACGCAACCTAAAATCTGAAGCAGCTCCACCACATCCAAAATCTCCACACGTAGCAGTCGACAACCTATGACCAAGATGACCCAAATATGTCGAAGCTCCAAAACCAAACCAATGCTCGACAACCAACGCCGATCCTCCTCCAGTAAGGAACGACCCATCAAAACTGTCATCTTATCTCGTCACCCCAATGTCTCCACATCAATGAAGTGTCTCAAATTTCCATGATCTCGGCACAAATGCAAAAAAGAACCCCTACCAAAGCTAGAACGACGGATTACCTTTCTGCCAATACACTTCTTCCAATTGTTGTTGACTTCTAGGATTTCACACCAACGGGACCTGGTTGCAACCCACTAATGCCTAGAACTATCCCCAACAGTGAAAACCAAATACTGATTACCTTCCAATGATGTCTTCTTGGAAGGTCCCCAAATGCCTGACTGAACACCACCTAAAAGGCCCCTCGATCGATGGATAGAAATACCAAACTCCATCTCGGTCTTCTTGCTCATACCAATGTGCTCAAAGGACTTCAATCTACAGGTCAAAGCACTCCTCAACAAACCATGCACGACATAACCAATCAAATAACCCAGCCTTAACAAATGCCATAGTCTAGCCAAATCCAAAGAAGTCGTCAGCTCTCTATTAAACACCGTGCTTCCAATCAAATAATACAAATTTTTTCTCCTGACGCCCTTCATCACAATCATGGACATCAATGTGACCTTCAAACGTGAATCGACCAAGGTCACCCTATAGCCCGCTGCCTCCAAAACTCCAAGTGAAATGATGTTCTTCTTCAACTAAGGAACGAACCTCACTCCAACCAACTCCCGAATCACTCTGTCACTCATCCTAATCCAAACGGTATCGATACCACCAATAGGACATTCATGATCATTACCCATGAGTACGATCTCCCCTCTTTCCAACTCCTGAAAGCTGGAGAACCAATCCCTCCTAGGGCAAATATGGTAAGAAGCACTCGAATCCAACGTACATTCACTCTGTAGAGTCGGTAACACAAACTAATGGTAGTGCAGATAACGAGTAGCCCGAAGAATCCAAATCTGAATTATTGCCACTAGCCTTGACAACATTCACCTCTGAAGCTTGAATAACTTTTCCCTTATTCTTCCCGGCTCGATCAACCAACTTTGGGCATTCGGCTTTCTAATGTCCATCATCTTTATAAAAGACACACTGATTCCTACAAACTCTAAGATATTCCCCTCTAGACTGCGTCCTCCTACCACGGTTTGGACTCTTTGCTCTTACGACCAATGCCCATGCTACCGGATCAACTGAAGTCTCCTTATCCTTCTTTCGAAGCTGATAATTCACAAGTGCAGCGGTGACCTCACTATAAGAAAGAGATGCATTCCCATTAATAAGAGTAAGAATGAATGTCTCATATTCCTCGTTAGACAAGGAACTCAACAACAACAACGTCTTGTCCTCATCTTCAATCATCACATCTACATTCACCAAATCCACAAGAAGCTTCGTGTAGTGGTTCATGTGATCACCAATAGAGTTCCCCTTCTTCAATTGGAAGCGATAAAGTCTCTTTTTCAAATATAAACGGTTCTCTACACTCTTGGTCAAATACTTGCCCTCTAGGATCTCCCAAATCTTCTTAGCCGAAGTCTCATTGATCACATCATATTTCAAATATTGAGTCAAACAAGATCTAATCACACCACACGCCATTCTATTCATCTTTTTCCAAACCTTCTCCTCAATGTCGTCTGGTTTCCCGTCAACTCCAAAGTATCTTTCAAATTTTGCGCATTGAGCGCATCCAAAATTTCACATCTCCAAAGACCAAAATTATTTGTGTCATTAAACTTTTTCACGTCTATCTTCATAGAGTGGATATTCAAACTTTGGACGGTCTTCACGCCGGAAGTACCCTCCACAACTCCTTCTTCCCCGACCATCTTTCTCAAAGCACCAAAACAAATGCGGAACAAATGAAGAATAGATCCAAAACTAAAAAAGGATAGAGTCTTTACCAAAAAGATCCCATCTTTATCACCAAACGAAGCTCTAAGCGAGCCTCCAAAACGACCTACTCCTCCAAATAGCCCAAGCGTAG